AAAAATGAATATCTATGGAACCATTATATGTGTAAAGATGAAAATTTCACAAAATGTGTAACTAATAATCATAATTCATTTCCCAAAATTTCAGCTCGATCCGTCTGGCGGAAAAAAAGTCGATTTTACAATCTCTCTCATAATGAATCTTAAGCCATTGACTTAGGTTGATCTTAATCTAAGTTTAAAACATATTTAAGTATGTGTACTTAAGTTAACCAAAAGTGCATCATATAAAGTCATCAAAGTGTATCATATAAATAGTCCATTTCAAGAAAATATTGACGACAACAAAAAAATTTTATCTAATAATAGATAAAAAGCGAATCATAGTAGCACATCTCTTTTAAATATAATTTGCAAAAAATCCTTTTAAATTATATGCATGATTGATGAGCTTGTAGTGCCGAGTACATAAGTTGACACTTAGATTAGTAATTATTAATCTAGGATTATTTATTTCATTATACTAGTCTTTATTAATAAAGCTAAACCAATTCTCTTTAAGCACAGTCGTAGTTATTACCATTTAAGGCGCAAAAGAAATCAAGCTTTTCAGTTAAAAAAAACAGACAGTAAAGTTGAGTCAGCCAAAAGCTGGAAGAAGTGGCGTAAGGAAGTTAAACAGGCCTTAAACAAAGACAAAACTGCCCATTTTAACCAAATTGCTACCTCCTTCACATCACCTGCAATCTTTTGGGCCGCCATTAATCGGATAAGACAAGGTAACGCTAGTCTACCTGCAACAATTACTAATGGTGCTGCATCTGCCTCAACTGACCAGGAAAAAGCGGACCTCTTTAGTCAATATTTTTCTAGCTGCGTTACATCAACATTAAGTCCCATGCCAACACCCTAGTCCAACTTTCATCCCACAACCACTCTTAATTTCACATGTCCTTCTAAGGAGGCAATAATTTTAGCTATTAACAATCTGCGTAATAACATCGCTTGTGGCCCGGATGACATCCCGGTGGTTGTGCTAAAAAAGAACGTTGCAGTTTTTGCACATCAATTGCATCACATTTTTAAGTTGTCAGTTGAAACTAGGGATTTTCCATCAAAGTGGAAGTTACCTTTCGTTAACCCCACTCACGAAAAAAGCTCAAAATGTGTTGTGTCGAACTATAGACCAATTTCTCTCTTGTCCATAGTGAGTAAACTATTGGAAAGATTTATTTATGATCAATTGTTTACCCATTTGAGCATAAATAAATTCTTTTCCAATAACCAGTTCGACTTTTTGCCCAAAACATCAACAATTGACGCTTTATTATATTTGCTACATAATCTGACAAATAATCTTAATAAACAACCACCGGTAGACATCGTTCTAGTCACATGCGATATGGAGAAATCCTTTCACAAAGTTCCGTACCCAATAATCATTTCTCGTTTGTCAGTGTTAGATCTATCTCAAACGACCCTACAATCGTTTACGAACTACCTTTCCAATCGTTTCCACCAAGGAAGAGTTAGCTCTAACTGTCTATGCCAACCCCCGTAATATCCGGAGTAGTACAAGGCTCCATCCTATATGTTATTCTTAATATTCATTAATGATCTTCCTACCGTTGTAGACCTACCGGCTGATACTATCCTCTTTGCCGATGATTGATTTAACCCTTCCCGAAGCTGTTGTTACATCACCCACAATAAAATCGTTTAAACCAAAGCTGAAGAACTATCTTGAGTTTTAATCGTTTTAAAACAAGGTGACAAAGTTTATAGGTTCTCAGAACTTTTTTTGCCTTCCCAGTAACGTGTTTTTGTTTTGTTTTTGTTTATGTAATAAATGTATATTTGTGTTCCTTTTTTTCACTATCTATCATCTACTTGGGGCTACTAAAATATAAATCAATCAATCAATAAGATTTTTTAGATATAGTCTTCTATATTAATACCTGCAGAAGCGATAGAAAACATATCCCAAGAAGGGCATTACAATAACAAAATGGTCTACACTAATTTTAAATAATCAATACTAACGATAATAACTCATTGACGTCTAATTTATGTCCATTTATTACTTTTAGTCTCTACCTACTTACTGGCTCGCAAAAGTTGTTGTTTTTGAAATTTTTTATTTGATTGTCAACCGATTTGTGTTTGGAATATATCTTTTCTTCATAATCCGTAAAATCTTACACATTTTCCTTCAAAAGCGTTCAGATAAATTCTATTTTACTCTTAACTTTGTTTTATGTGATATACTGAGTGAATTCAGTACAGTCAGATTCAAGTATGATGATGATAGAACAAAATCAACATACGAAACATTGATATCCTCATTTCTTTATCAATTCCTTTTAAAATATTTTCAAATTAGTCAGTATGACAAACAACTTTTGAGTATCTATTCGTATACATTTAATAGATATAAAAATTGCCACTTTTCTACTAGTTTTACGGCATTTAAATAAAATAGAGCAGAAGATAGGAAAAAAAATCTAAATTGGATATAATAAATACATAGACACAAACAAACAACATCCAAAGTATACATTGGTAGATATGGCAAAAACAATGTTGGTAACCCAGAACAAACAAACATCACTTCTATGATACATATAAATCTTAAGTTTAAAATTGTCCTAATAAACACGAAAAAAAAATAGGTTCTAAGTTAAATTATTAATTAGATGAAAAAAAAGAGAAAAGAATATCAGACAAAACAACAAACAATTCTGGGTTACGATATTTTCCTAATTAACGATTAATTTAAAAAAAAAAACGAAAGAGAGATATTGCATATAGCATCACTTGTTTTTCGCCGAGGATTTTTATATGCTTTGATAACTCGAACAAGGAGGATGATGATTTTCCAATATAGCAAAACATCATTCTCACTTGTATCTGTTTTGATTGTAAAGTCATTTTGTGTGAGGAAGGATAAAACTACATATAAAATAAGTTAAAAGAAACAACAGATCGAAAGATTCAGAGAAGAATGAAACAAACAAACAAACGGAATAGAAACACACACACTCATCTGACCATCATCCCTTCACTCACACACAAATGACAAATTGAGATCATTACAACGACAAAAAATAAAACAAATCTAATATTTTCCTAAGAATCTGTAGTGTCGAGAAATAAAGAAGCAAATGCTTTCATTTTTTTTTTCCTCTTAATTTGAATATCGATCGTGTGTACTATTCAAAGAAAACAACAATGTTAACTTTTAACATAAGCCACTTTTGGTTGTTCATGACAATAAAAACGTGTTTTAATTAGTTTACAATTTGGACTAATATAAATTGGACTCTTGTTTTTTAACTGTTCAACGAGTTTCATCTTCGATTTTGTCATCATTGATAATAGACGTCGTAAACTAAATATTTTTTGATCTTCATGTAAATGAATTTCAATTTCAAATGTTGACTTTTTTGTCAGATCAATTTTCACTGTTTGTATCAATTTTCCTTGTGGTTCTCGTGCACTCAATAATTTAATATTAATTTTTGCACCATGAATACCAAAAGGTTCTTCAGCAGCCATCATCAACATATGTTTTGAAATATTTTTGATATGATTACATGGTACAAACAAATCACCACAATTTAAATGTTTTAATTTACTTTCACGTAAAACATTTAAAAGACAATTCGTTAACATTTGTTCATTTTCCTCTGTTATATCCAATTCATCATCATAATCAAAATATGTCATATTTTGATAACCTAAACTCAAAAAAATAAATAAATAAAACAAATATAATTGACAACACGAAGGATAAAGTTATTATTAATTTAAATTATAATTGAACATTGGGCATTTAACGGTACACATATGTTACATTTCAAAAAAAGAAAGAATGCCCTCAGATGCATAATAAAAAAATTTTTTTGATAAAAAGGTAAGATTTATAAAAAGGTAAGTATTTATTAAAAGAAACAAAACAAAAAAACTTGCTGTGATTAGTTTTTATGTGAGTAAAACTGTCAGTATGAAATCCTACGAGGACACATTTTACTCTATTACCTCTAAATAAATATATATTCTAATCTTCTTATCTTAAAATGAGTTGTTGATATTCACGTCCATCATATATGAAAAAATGAACGGGCTATTTATTAAAATGATTGCCTTTTGTACAATATCTATATCTGCGTTTTTAAGGGTTCGACACAATCATATCTGAATAATATGTATATATCAAAAGTGATCTCTTATTTTATATACTAGACTAAACTCTCTGAAACACATAGAATACACGACTCTCGAAGAGGTTCAATTAGCAATAATATTTAAACTTTTAATAACTGTCTACCTAACGTTTATTACTACAGCAGTTATTTATTCAGCCAGAAAAAATTGTTCGACTTTCCTCTTATAAAACATTTTATTCTTAATATAATTGTCTTGAAAAGAAGTTGGAATACAAAAGTTTTTTCAGTGGAATAATGTCTTTCTCTTCCTCTCTTTCCCTCGAATAGTTTAAATTAATTGACTGAAATTAATATTATACCAGGTGTCCTTTTTTCAATATACTTATAGTTATACCAATCACATCATATTCAATGGTTATTAATAACCTTCAAAACGCTATGTATATACTTCATTTTTTATCTTTCAATACACATACACACACACAAATCAAGGCTATAGGCATCATTGACGAGGTATATCTATGTGTTATTGATTTTCATTTTTACAGCTATACACTCAAATAAGGAGAAAGACTAGCTGATAGATATATATAGAATTTAGTATTACTATCGAATGACAATTTTCTTTTCTTTTTTTTTGTCACGATTAACTTAAAGGGTGTGTGTGTGTGATTACTCTTTCAAAAAGGACATAAAATATCGAGAAAATGACATGTGAAAAAAGTAAATTTCAAGAATTATATCTCTTTTTATGTTCACATGACTTTTCTCTATCTAGCTAAAAGTATGAAATAGACTAGATGGAAAATTTCTCGCATATTTTACATACGTTCCGTTCCGCTTGAGTAAATAACTGCTGTTTATATCGTACCGTCAATCTCATTTTCATTGACTATTTCAGGAACACTAGTCATTTTTGCTTCATTTTTTTGTCTTGAAAATTGTTGATTACTGTTGTTTGAAACCATATGTTTTATTAAATTTGACACACGTTGTTTTAGTCGATGAAGAAATGGAGGATTTTTTGATGATTGAATAATATTATCACTTAACAATGGTAATGTAGCAGAACGATGATAATATTGTTCAATTGGTATCGGCTTATTTGAATCTTTTGATTTATATGGATAAACATGAGGTTCGTTGATTGCACTTGCTGACAAATATTTTCTCATTAAATTATTGTCTTGATTTGTGACGACAAATGAAGTTTGTGTTGTATAAGATGAAGCTCTGTTAAAATTTTGATTTTTCTTTTGTACTGTTGTATCAACGTCCATATGTGATGATGTTGCTGTTAATGAAGCAAAATTTGGACTCATTTTCCAGAGTGTGTATATGTTCTAATCTAAAAATAGAGAATAAAGAACTAGCCGCCATGAAAAATGATACAGAAGAAAAGCAAGAATGCTTTGATTCGATTGTCATCTGCGTTACGCTAGCACTCTCTAATTGGTATGACGACAGATGATTTTGAATACATGCAGAATGCCTTACTTCCGTTTTGTCTCAACTAAATCTAGCATACATGAAGTTATTTGTCAAAAAAAGTATCATTAAATTTTTTTTCTTTTTCTATCTTACGCTTCAAGTACCAACTTCATCATATAGTATACAGAAATAGACGAAAAAAATGTGATGAAATTAGACCAAATGCAGCCTGAAAATAAAAAAGATATATTATATTATTATCACGGTGTATTTTTATGCCTAATGGCGTTGTGCAACAATGACTATTACTACAAGTTACATTCTATTAAATTAGCCTTTTTTTTTCTAAAGTAGATGCGTAGGCAATTTTTGTGTGTAGGTTATCTCTTGAGCACTCATATTGATATGCGACAATTTATTATTAAGGTGTAACATTCCGTTGTTGATATATAAAATAGTAGAGAGATAAGACAAATGATTCTCTTGTCTCTAATTTTGAGGTAGATAAAAAAAGGGTAAAAATTTATTGAAAAAGTAAAACCCTCTAATTTCTCTTGAAAAGACGGTACCTATGTAAAACAACTTCAGTATATAAATAGAAGACTAATCTACCATCATAATTAATTTTTGTTCAAAACAACAGGCAAACATCTGTTGTAAACGACACTCTCAGCATGAAGTAGCATTATGATTCATCTTCATAGTACATCATATTAATTAATAATATGCAGCCTCGATAATACTCTACTCGTCTATTCAAATAATTGAATCAAGTGTGAAAACTCAGTTGGACACGAATTTTTCTTCACTCTAAATAATATGTCGACAACAACATTACTGTCCATGTCTATAGCAGGAGGTCAAAAAGAATAAGATTTACTCTAATAAAAGACACATAGCAGAAATTCTTCGTTTTTTAATCTTAAATCCATGCACGACTGAGTTTCAGATTTCAAATGAATTATGTGTTACATAAATCAGAAGGATTAGAGAAAGAAGGCGGACATATACACAGCAAGCATTTTTTAATAAATAGTCTACACAGTTTTGTAAAATAAAAGATCTAGGTCACGATAAAAGTAACTTTTAATTTGTCAACCTTTAGACAGTATATCTTAATAAAGCTTGTTAAAAATAGTATAAACCTCCTGCTCTAGATATGAAGGCTGTATTATACGCCTCTATCATTATTACAATAGTAAAATAAAGGTACTTATTCATTTAACACGTATGGTATGCGAGATGAAAAGCTTTTTTTTCTTTAAACAAAAATCTAAATCTTCTGTCACTGTATGTTAGTTCTGAAACCTTTTAGAAACTAATGGAAGACGAATGAATGACTTTTTTCTGTTTCCGCAAGGCATCTTGCAAAATTATTAAATAGAAGAAAATATACTCAGACCTGCGACAAGGCCACAAGAATGAGAAAGAGCTTATCACTTATCCAAGAAAAAAAATGTTCTATGTACGTCGTCAAAAAATAACATACACTTTTGAGAGTATGGTCTACGTATACTAACAATGGATGAAGAAGATATAGCTATTTTCTAGATCGAGCAGCGCCAAAAGCCCGCCATATTCTACTCGAAAAAATGAGTGACAATAGTGAAAACAGTTTTACAATTGTGTTTTTTAACTGATTGTGATTAACTGACATACGAAATTGCCGAGATAAAAAACAACTTTTATTGTTTACTTTTTGGTGGTATTTTCATACATGCTATTTGCTCTCTAATATAGGATATAACTGTTTAAGAATACAATGTCAGGCTTGTGTCCTATTTTTGTTCTACACAAAAATGAAATTTGGATGTCGGTTATCATCTGAATGAACTCTTAACACTTTCCAAACTTTTAAAACTCTATAATTATCTCTATTGTAAAGAAAATTATTAACATAAACTTGTAAGTCAAAATCAGTTTAGTCTAGCCAAGTTTCCAAACTGTCACTCACTTGAAAATAGGTTTATACGAATATTTTCTACACGTATTTTGTAAAGACACTACTACAATACACCATATTTTATTTTCATATGCATGACACTCCGTGCTTACTTGCTCTCATTTCGTCTTTCTATGATCATATGTTGTATAGAGTGTGTAGATGCATGTATATGCATAATATATAAGAAACCAAACATTTTTTTTTTCATTCTATTTTTTTTTCTGCATTTTATTCTTATTTCTTTTCGTCGTTATGACCATATATCAGCTGATGGGATGAAGAACAGCAGTTCATCAAGAGAGTAACAAAAAAAAAAACGCTATTGGTTAGATTTTGACAAGTTAGTCATTGATCAACCATATGTTCGATAGTCGACACAAGTATCAACAAAGAAAAAGAAAATATGCAAACAATATAATTCGACAATATAATTGCATTCAGGACATATGTTATAAAAGAAGGGTGATATGATCGCTATTTACCGATTCTTTGATTTCACATCTTTTGCAGCGAAGTATAACTTTTTTTGTGTACGCTTATCTATGCAAGTTCTATATTGAGCGGATCAATAAACTGCAAGGAATGTAGAAGACCATTTCTGTTCAAGAGCATCTTGAAAAAAGTATTGAAGTTGAGCTGAAGAAAAAATGTTTTGAAACTCATCTTGCTTCACAATTGTTAAATATCAGAAATATATTAAATTTCATACAGAAGAAACGTTATGGAAACGAAAGCAGAAAAGTTTTCAGCACCAAAAAAAAGTTGAGCGGCAAGAAAGACGTGTAACAAAGTTACAGGATAAAATCATAATTTTTTCTCGTTTGATAGTGTAACTCAAGGTTGATCTGGAATGCCCTTTTCATTGTAAACGTGCCACTGAACACATTTTTAAAAACTTTCAGGTTACTCAGAGTATTCAATTTTACTCGGCCGTTTCATCAATATCCTTAAGCTCGTTAGTTTAAGCACAGGCTTAATGGTCAACATTTAGTTTGATTTAGTGTGCCGTATTACAGTGCTAATTTGAGAAAACTGTGGTATCTCAAGTCAGTGCTGGACTTCAGATCACAACGGAAAAGTTAAGACGAAGTTGACATTTCAAATTTGTAGTAAAACAACAAGAAGTTGAGACTATAACATCCTTGATTATAAAACAGTGGAGATTATAATAGTATGTCGAAAAGAACATAATGGAATATATATACATCAATACTTATTTTATCGGGTTCGACTCAATACAAAACGAATATGCAGTACGAAGTTTTTACGTGAAATATTACATGATAGTTCTGACCGAACTTGTTTCATCTAGAGAAAAAATGCCAAAAATGTAATACAATTAGTTCAAAAATAGATTGACTAATATCAACTGACTTTTTACATACATTGATTTGATGTAAGCTTTATTAGTTGATAAAAAGAAAGGAGGCCGCCGCATCAAATAACTTCTATCACACTGTTTTAACATAATGCGAGTTTGTATATCACAAATTGGTTGAAATGAGAGCTAGATGAAATACGTATATAATTATTCTGAAGAATAAAAAAGCGAAAAATAGTATAAAATTTAATATTCTTTCGTTAATACCTCGTGATCAAATTGGAAATCGGACCAGTTCACCTCCTTATTATACGTGTTTTTTTCAAAAATTGTCAAAAAATACAGCAATTTTATCTCACTCTCTAGTCTACCAGATTTATAGATACCAGTATCTATAAATAGCCGTATCTACTGACATAGCGATCGATAGTGATGATAAAGAAAGAACTGAGATCTATCGAGACGTTACCAAGATAAGCCATAAGCACTAGTAAAACTTTTTATATAGCTGACGGAGATAAAGAATTTATCGTTGAAATGTGTCTTGGTCTTACGAAAGTAGTGTAATAAACATTGATAGCATTAACGTTTGAAATAAACGAAATCAATTCTAATTTTACGTTTTATTTTAACGTGTCAAGTGGATCCTAAAACACACTATATATCGAACGGTTGTTGGAGAATACCTCATCATAACTGTCAGATGATGACCTCATTTCTTCTATTATTTTCAATATAAAAATTGTAGCTCCAGGTGGCAATAATTTATATTGTATTTTTGAATGTATAAATATACATATATAATGGATGATTTAAAACAAATTATTTTTAGTACTTTGCTTATATGTCGATCAATCCTTTTCTTTTCACCTAGTTTTTATAAAAGATTCGACAAAAACATCTTTGCAAAACGTAAGATTACTAAAACGACTTTTAATTATCTTATTGCCTGACGTTTTCTAAACTCTAACAGTAATAAAAAATAAATTAAAATCGTCTGTCTAAACCTTTGTTCACAAAATTGGCACATTTTGGCAGAAGATAAACAGTTGAGGAAATGAACCAGAATACACTTTCTTACGTTGTTGAGTATGCTCTTTTTCATGAAATATTTCCTGTAAATCTAGTTTCATGAGAGTCATTTTATAGACGTTACTAAAAAAAAAAATCTTCTACTCAATGTTCCCGGGGAGCAGACGTTGACCGACATATAAATAATAAACAACAACAAAAAACACTTTCATGCATAAAATCTTAGATTGTTTTTCACGTTGAATGAAGATTAATTATAATAAAAACATCGCTGTTAAGGCTACATGTGAAAGGTTTTATGAAGGGAGTGCTATGGGATATTACCTACATAGGAAACGTTAATTGTATATCATTTTGATTAATTAAAGCAAAACAAAATCACTTGTGCGCATCAAAACAAGATTTCTATCTCACCGATGGCTTACTCTCCAATAAGGATTTGTTTTTATGATTAAAAATGGTCATGCAATTGAAGCGTTACGAGAAACAAAATTAAAAACTTAGCTTTAATTGCATTTAATCACGTTTTTATTCAGGTTTGTTTCGCGAATGTTTCTCTGTTTTTTAAAAGTTATCATAATTAAATCCGGTTA